AGTCCAGAGGAGGGTCACGAGGATGATAAGGCGGCCAGAGCACCTCCCTTATGAAGATAGGCTGAGAAAGTTGGGGCTGTTCAGCCTGGAGAAGAGAAAGCTGTGTGGAGACCTCATAGCAGCCTTCCAGTGTCTGAAGGGGGCCTATAAGGATGTTGGGGAGGGACTCTTCATTAGGAACTGTAGTGGTAGGACAAGGGTTAATGAGTTCAAACTTAAACAGGGGATGTTCAGATTAGATATAAGGAAGAAGCTCTTTGCAGTGAGGGTGGTGAGGCACTGGAATGGGTTGCCCAAAGAAGTGGTGAATGCTCCAACCCTGGCAGTGTTCAAGGCCAGGTTGGACAGAGCCTTGGGTGACATGGTTTAGTGTGTGGTGTCCCTGCTCATGGCAGGGGGATTGGAAGTAGGTGATCTTAAGGTCCTTTCCAACCCTAACTATTCTGTGATTCTATATCCCCTAAGGAAAAGAACAACGGTCCTGGAAGATTTTAAAACACTGCTGGTTGGGAATGACATTGTTTTATAAAATTATTGTTCTTCCCCATCCATGAGCTCTGTGCTAGAGGATCTTTGCTACCCGTTTGCTTGAACCTTGAGAGGACTTTCAGCATAGTGTTAAAGTTCTCATAATCAGAAAGGCTTGGACCACTCACCTTCAATAACGCACTGATCAGGGATAGGAATTTTTCTCCCCATCTCTGTGACATATGCTTTCAGTTTACCCAGGTTTTCCTTCAAGTGCAAGTAGAGCTTATCCTGGTATTCCTTGGGGCTCATGACTGCCTCTGTGTTTCCTTCAAGGGCCTTTTCTTTAGTAGATTCTGTCAAATTTGCTGATTCCACGTAATCGATACTTTGGTGTGAAACTAAAGAATTTCCCAGTTCCATTGCTTCAGTATCAACACTGAAAGGCAATTTGTCATTTTCTTGGCTAATGTAGATCTCGGAGAAGGAAATACCAGCAGCTATCTCCCCATTGTTCTCATCCTGTCCACCCTCTGAGTTTATCCCCTTCATGCGGACTGCATGCAAAGCAAGGCTTTTGGACCTGGAAGGTGATAAAGGAAAGGACAAATGTTTTGGAGTAGAGGTCAGACACAAAAATCACCCAAACACATGCTCTTCTGAGTTACCTCTGTGCAGCTGGTTCAGAGAGTTGAGTGTGGGGCTCACTTAGCCAGAGGCAAGTACCTTTTGGTAGATAGGATTTCAAAAGCAAAACGCAAGCCACAGCTTTAATAAGCAAATGAAACTAAATAATATCCATATATCACAACATCTGCATGCCATGGAGGGAGCTAATCAGCGTATGTGCAAGAAACTTATAATCCCAGGACTGGAACATATGCCATCCAGTGCCATTTAACTGAATCAAGATTCAGCCTCCAGTTCTTCATTGCCCCATACCTATATGCTGAGGATGAAGTTAAGCCTCTGTAAGAGTAAGAAGGATAGGAGTGAAGTGACTGAAAAGGCAAATACTGGAGCCAGAAAAGCTCTGCTGCAAAGCTGCAGTGCACAGGCAACTTAAAGACACTGCGGGTGCATGTTGCTGTCTGAGCCCCTATCTCACCTAGGATCCCAGGATAGTCATATTCATCTCACAGCACACAGGCAAAATTTCATTCAAACATTTGGTACCTATTGTTAGCAATAATACCCCAGAAAAGTCTCTGTATCTTCCTTTCTAGTAATATCTGTATGTAAATATTTTCCTATCCCTTGTGCTGGTGTAGGGCACAAAAGAGATTAAATAAATAATTTAGAAAAGTTTTATCCAGCCTTTGAATTCATGGGTATGAGACTTAATTAAAATTAGAATTATGATGCCCAAAGGCATCAAGTGGGCCAAATTCTCAACGTTTGCATAGTTTTATTACAAAACTTATATTCATGAAAAGCACTCACATGTTTTACAGAGCCATACCTGTTAAATCTCATATCCTTCCTTTCTTCTTTAGAAACCTGGTCTAAACTGTGTCTCCGCACTGAGCCAGGAGTACCATTGTCGACACTTATTTTCTCCTCAAAAGCCTGTATTTTAACTTGAAGCTTTTCATCCTCTTCATTTCCATTCATAACAGATTTTAAATCATCCAGTGCTACAGGAGATTCCATTTCAGTATCATTTTCCACTCTAAGGAAGTAGAAAGCAGGGATTTAACTGTGGCACACTGTGTTCATAGTGATGCTGATGCTGCATTTCTGCCTGTGACCTCTATTATGTTTCTGCTAAAATAATTATGTTTCAGCAGAGATTCTCCTAGAGGTTGATTAATCATTTTCAAAAACATCTTCTAAATCAATGTCTCTGTCAGATGGATCAGAAACATTGAACATCTCTGACAACACCAGATTAGAAACTGCATGTGCTGTATCTGCATAAGCAAAACCCAATTCTTTCCCCAGTGGTCCCATAGCAAAAAGTTTTTCAACTGAATTTAAACCATTCTCTCTAGCTTGCTAAACAGCAACTTATGACATTATTTTCATAAACCAGAAGTCAAGCTAATTGCAGAGTTTATAGAAACTCTGTGGTTTTAAAAGTCTGACAAAAGTACATGCAGTTCCTAATGAATTATTGTATTCTGAGTAAGAAAAACATCTCCTAAAACTCAGCACACGTACAGAAACAGGCTCAAGAAAAGTTCTAAGCAATGTGACTGAAGTTCAGCAAAAGAGAAAGAGAAAACAAAGAGTTAAAATTAACTTGGTAGGACTGTGAGACAAGCTGTTTTATTTTGAAGTTCTTATGTTAGTTTTAGAATACATAAGATTTTAATACAAAATTTGAAGATAACTTTAAAATAAGTTTAAGGGAAACTGTTAATCTTAAGGAACAAAAAGAAATCTGCTGTCATATAGTGCTGGTAAAAATTTGCTTTCTAGCCAATAAAATACCTTTTGTCCAGTGAAAAATGCTGTCTTTGCTGGACGCCCAGCCATGGTGACACAGGGGCAGTAATCACTACTAGCCAGAGCTGTAGGGCACAGCAAAAACTCTCTGCAGAAGGGTCGCAGGGTGGCAGACCCACCACCCCATATCAGGGCAAGGGCAGGCACACCAGTGTTACACCCTGCCTCAAGTGCAGTGTTTTCTGTGCCCAAATCCAGGTTTCCTAGGTTAAGGTTTTCAGTCTGATTGCCCCATTCCCCAAAACTGGGCTTCTGAAAATGGAGTTTGCTGGTAAGATCCTACACAGCTCACAGCGAGACTCAGCTCCTCCAAATATTGAGCCTTTTGCCAGAAACCTAACCCTTGGGTAGCTGTATTCTTCCTTGAAGATGCTGCTTGGCCTTTATGCAACACCAGGACTGAATTTCCTGGGGGACCAACAGCACACGTAGCAAAACCACTGTTTTGCCTTCCCCTCTTCTTCAGGGAGATGCCTTCTGTTGGGCATTTCTATGTTCCTATCTTACTCCCGCAACTATGGAGTAACTGGTCCAAAAAATCATGCAGACAGTACGAAGACAATCAGAAATCTTAGGGAATTAAGGGGTATTTGACAGTATTTACTTTTTAAACTCTACCAACAGCTCTAAAACAAGCACATTTTACTTCTGACCATTTCTTTGTGTTTGTTTGTTTGCTTGTTTGTTTGTTTGGTGGTTGGTCTTTTCCCTGATGAGGAAACATCTGAATAGTTATTCCGTAAAATATGGATACGGAAAGCCACAAATAAGAGTTTTAACTCAGCCTTTCAAAGCAACAGAATTTCAACGTGTCATGCTCACAGTCAGGAAGCCTATTAAAAACTCCCAAATACTGCAAATTACCAATTGTGGAGACAAAAAAACATGTTAAAAAACCCAAAAAACCCAAAACAATCCCACAAATCCTGCATCACAAAATGCACTTTTTCATTTGTTTTAATAAAGGCAGTTCAGAATATTTCTCAGAGGAGGTCGTAAGTTTTGTCTTGTTTTTAATTTAGGCAAGATCTCATAAGATATTAGCAGTGCAGAACACTGAAATAAAAATATTCTTCTGTAATTAAGAACCATGGTATGACCTTTACTAACAAATCTTTCTGGAGACGTGGGACAAGATTTAATTTGTTAGAAAGATGTCCCTCCAAGATCACTTCTAACACTGCTCCATTGTCGAAACTAAGTGCTAAGAAAAATGTCCTGTTACATATGTAAAAACATATAAAGCCCTCTGGCCACAGAGAGGGGACTGATGGACTGATGTGGTTCACAAATGGCAGACCCAAACCAGCAAGCCTTGATGATGTTCGGAAATAAAAATGTCCTTTTACAACAGCATCTTTTTATCCATCATTCTCCTGCTCTCATGGCTTTATGAAGGAAATACAAGAAAATGCTTCTGCTAAAGAAACACATCAATGAATCTTATTTGTCATATTCAAAGCAGCAGTAAGTTAGTGCACACAGGGCTCATCGCTGCCTGGTGCGCCTCAAGCCACCATCTTGGTTTCGACCTGGTTGTTGCCTGGGGTTTCAGGGCAGCTGCAAGCACTACATGAGGAAGTCAGAGTGCTCAGCTCTGGACATGCCTCTCACATGTACCTGCTTTACATGATTCAAATCCCAGAAAGCCAAAAGCACATACCCCAAGTGAAACATTCAATGAAGCCTCCACCCTGTGCCCAACAGGATGCCTGGCAGGTCTTCCTGCTGGCCTCCCCTTCCAGCAACAGTAAAATAAACTATTGTTTGAAATCTTGGCAGGAGACATTTGGTACATTGCTGAGGTTGCTGGAGCAGGATCAGCTTACACCAAAGCTCAGGCTGTTTTTGAGAGGAAAAGGATACACAAACCTATCAAGAAATCGTAAGGACCTGGCTTGCAAAGATAGTACTATGCTACTCACCGTTTCACTGCTTTAAAATTATCTTTAGAAAGAGACCTAACTATATAGGTCAGCAAGTCAAAAGTGATACATAAATTCGAAGACGGTTTCTCCAAATCACCAGCACCAGTATAGACTGTTATTCTCTGTTCTTACCCAGATCAAGAACCTGGAAGCTTCATTAAATTCTCTTACTTTTGTTTCTTGCCTTCTTTTAATGGATCGTGCTATACTTCTAGGTTGGATCAGTCCATTAAAACTCCATGTTCTTAAAAAGTACCTCTGAGACTGAATAACTTGCAATTTTGTGACAGTAAGGGGCAACAGAGCATCACATCATTTTAATTAGATTCTCCACTAACTGCATGTAAAATTCCCTGTGTCAAACAACTCCAAGCCAGCCATCACTCTAAAGAAATCAGTTTCTTCTTATGTAAACACATGATTGTGGAAGGAATGGTTATAATCCAGCCACACATTTTAAAATTGTGTTTTCCTTTCGCAGCACAAACGCTCTGGACTGCTGCTCTTAAAAATCACTGCAGTTCAGTAACTGCAGCAGCTCTGGAGCTAGGAGGGTATTTCCATGTCAGTGTCTGGACCAGTCCCGCTTATGCAAGTACAAGTCAGCATAAACTCTGATTAAATTAGCAAATAACTCTTATTTTAGCCTTACTTGCTGTCATACTTGTTCTTGTCTGATATAGCTGGTACTTTGCTTGATGCAGGCCTGAAATATAAAACCAAATACCTAAAATGTATAATTGTGAAAAATCAGTGTTTCACTGTGACCTCTCAGAGTCATACTGAGATAACAGGATGATGGCAGCTGCAAGCATCCAGGGTCACAGATGATTGGTGGGGGATAAAATTACAATATAAAAAATAAAAAATTAAAAAAAAATCGAGCAGCAGATGGAGAATAAGAAATAATTTCAGAAAGGTTTGTTTGAAAGGGTCCAGGCCCTGCCATTGGATAGACAGCTGTGTGCAAGGCAGACCTTGCTGCAGCAGACATGCCCTGGGACATCAGCCCCTTACCCAGAGGAGCATCAGGAACAGGTTTTCCTTCCCAATGCTTCTGGCTACACTCACACCCTTCTTGTGGCAAGCACAGCTACATCACAGGGACTGTCCTGTTTCATAACAGCAGCAATTTATCCACAGAAATGTTAAAACCCAATAACAACAAAACAGGATGGAGGAATGTTGCTTTCGGTTCCTTCCACTGAAAGACCTAAGGCCACACTGTCATTCCTTAAATCAGAATAACCTCTGAGTAGCCCCACTGTAGCCCTGGGATAAGATGGGTGCATTTTCATGGTCTGCCCGTACTTTTTACCCTCCAGAGTCTGGCCTCTGGACCTCATGGTAACTCTTACACTCCAAAGAGTGCAGCACATTTTCATTCACTTATATGGATGGCTGTGTTCAAACTTGCCACATGGAAGCAAATACAACTTAAGCAGGCAAACAACCAAAGCCTATTCCTTTCATGATCAGTATAAGCAGTAGAGTTTTTGTCCTGAGGAAAAATAAGGATATCTTCTGAAAAATCCACAGAAAAGTATTAAAATTACCTCCCTTCTCCTCACCAAGACTCTCTAGCCAAACAGTATTTTGCGTCTGTAACCACACACACAGATAAAGAAGCTTCTACTCCTCAGTAAAGCCAGTCCTTAACAAAGGGGAATTTTAGAGAGGAACAGGGAAACACAGTAACAACATTTTAATGAAAACCTTTTCTTGTTTTTCACTGTTTTTATCAGCTCTAGAGATAAATGTTAAGCACAGGAGATAATAAGGAATAGGAATATCACAACATTTTAATGAATAATTTTTCTACAGTAGATCAAGGGACCACAATGGGCTTTGTGAATAATTATTATGCTTTGTGACTGAAGCTTCAATTCCTGTCCTGCTTCACTGTGGTTCCCAGAATACATGACATTCTTCTGGTCCCCTTTACTAAGTGACATCTGTCACAGTTGAACTTGACAAGTTTGGAAAACTTGTATGTCATCGCATGTTCACTTTACTATCTCCACCTTGTTTTTTTCACTATCTCCAATGAAGCTTTTTATAAACAAGTGCTGAGGGCTTGATTTCAGCTGAGATTACAGCCACCAGGTGAAGTTTGGATATTTTTACAGCCTTGTAAAATGAGGAGCTATATCAGGGCTCCTCTCCTTTTTCATTTTTAACTCTCTCCAGGATACCAATTAATTGTTTCTTGAATGACCTCAATGTTTTGGCTCCAACTCTACAAGTCTGTCTCCAAGGCTATCCTTCATAGTTATGAGTTTTTTGACATCTGTGTTAAATTTTTTCAAGGAATTACTATTCCTTAGTGCCCTCTTGACCTACTTCAGTATACACAGTACTAATTGTAAGTCTTTCCCTAATTAAAAGTGACTACTACCATATATTTAAATAACACTTACATGTTTACTGATGAATGCAGCAACACTCCCAATGCATTAACCTTAGGATACACATTTAAAAGAGGCTGAGACACATTTAAAAGAAGCCAAGTGAGCAGAACATGTTTTTGTACATACTTGAGAATGTTTTTTTTCAGACTCTTTTTAGCAAACCTTCACGAGGCAGCTATGCCAGTCATTCTTCTCATCAGCGTCAGTGGTTATCTTCTAGAATAAACTCAGTGATAACTGTGTAGCCTGACTTCACCAATTTATTTTTAACTGAAGAATCTTAGACTGCCTTAGTCTAGTTATCTGAGACATGGCTTTCTTCCTACCGTTTAAGTGCTAAAACTTGAACAGCTTCTTTATTCTTCAGTGCCAAATGACGCAATTTCTCGTGTATGATGTTTGGAGGTCATTCTGCCTGGTAGCACAAAGCTGGTGTCTGCAGTGCACCCACAGCTTTTACTGCCACCCTTTAATTACAAAATTCTACTTTAGTGTCAATCATCCTTATACCTGCATTTGAAATGCATGTCTCGGGTTACTTCTACAAGTAGAGATGTTGCCCATCAGGTGTTGGTAAACTATTTTGCATACTTACCTGACCCTATAAATAACACAATCCAAAGGCTGAGTGAGCATATACTGGAATGATACAAAAGGGATATTAAGATCAATATGAAAACGGTGATGTAGCAAATTACAGGAACTGCAATACTTGTTACTTTCAGCTGATTGTTCATTCATTGCAACTTGAATATATTTAATATAAATACATATTGCTTCACAGAGCCATGGAGATGGCTGTGGCTTTATCATACAAAAATTAGCTTTACCTGGCTCCAGACATATTATCATTCTCTAGCTGTTGGATGAGGAGCTTGGCTATGGCTGTGAAACTGTTGCTCATGCGATAGATATCTCTGCTTTGAGTGCCCAAGATGCTTGAGAAAGTGTCGGTGAGACTCTTAATTTCCAGCAAAAGAATATGGTGAAATGAGTGCTCCATGTTGGCCAGCTGGTTCACCAAATACATCAGGCATATTCTGGCTCGCTTCTAGATAATGCAAGAGAAGAACAACAATTTTAAACAAATTAATTCATTGTTTGCTTGTGCAGGGGAAATTTGTATGCATGCTGCTGATTAAAACGTCACTGGGGAATAGTGGCTACCCCATGATAAACAACAAAAAGACAACTGCATCAAACAGTTTATTTTTGTGTACTACTGACATTAGATTTATTCCTCTTGGTATTACCTAATCCAGCCTAACTTTAGTACACCTTGTCTCCTCCTCAAATTTAGGGTCAGAGACCCTAGAGCCTTTCTGAAGGACCCGAAGTTGCTTTAGGGTGGTCAATCAGCCAGCAGCAGACCTTCCTCTCCTTTCTTATTTGATGGCCCTGGCCAAGCTACTTTACCTCCCTATACCTGGTTTTTGTGCCCTTTTTTTGCTTTATTCCTTGCTGTTTGCGGCAGGCAAACTCTCTTGTAAGAGGCCAAGCACTCATGTATGCTGCCCAGGTTCACAGGGTCATCTGCCCCAGGGTCTTTTCCCTCGTGCCTGTACCCAACCTGTTGCACATTGAGCTTACACAGGTATTAGCAGAGACACAAACGTGTTAGAACCTGCCAGCTCAATGGACCCCGCAGCTGAGGTCTGTGCTAGTTTGTGGCACTGCATGACCCACTACCAGCTGCAGTTTTGTGTCTTCATTACAGCCCCACTGTATTAATGGGCTAATGTCCAGATTTTTGCTTTGCCCATGTTACTCTCCACTCCATAACTGCAAATAATCAAGGGGCACTAGACAATTGCAATGAATTCTGCATATGTCACTAGTTGTTACAAATATTTTGCAAGGAATGAAGGTCTATTTCTCAGACCATAAAACGTTTCCCAATCATGACTTCCTTTCTTGACTTCTTGGGTATTGCTGATTTGCTATATTTAGCAGTGTCACCTAGGAGCCTGTTGTCACTGATGCTACACAGACCAAGCAGGACACCTCGGCACAGCATCAGCAGAGGAGCTAGGTGCAGTGGGCAGGAGCAGGGGGACTATCAGAATCTCTTTGTGCTAACGGTGAGAGGTTAAAGTACCTCATAAATCACAGGGTTTCTCTCCTTTCATAGCAATTCATTTAAGAGAAACACTCAGATTAGACCTGTGACTAACACTGCAACAAAGAGAAGTTTAAAATGAGATTTTGTTTTAAGATCTTATCACATGCGATAAGGTGCTGTCAGGCAAGCTGTATCAATCACTGCCAATGCACTGAAGTCTGATATGCCCTCTGTAGCCAAAGTTTTGCTAGTCAGTTTTTCAGGGGGATGTGATCTTGACAATTTATCAGTAAGATTGCATCCCCCATGAATTAGGACTGAAGGGGCTATTTCAGACAATAATATTAAATATGCAAGTATTTTCTAGCATAGATACTTTAATGTCTCTGCTTGGCAACAGCACACAATTCCAGTTCCAACAGTTTCTGTATGTATGTGTACAAATTCACAAGCTAAATTAGAAATCCCAAAGGTGAAGAAATGCATTAGGATTCTTCTGTTATAATCATAAGTGTATCAGGTCCCAAAGTCCTAAAAATGTCTAAGTGGGAAAAGCAGCAGGGAAAGCAGCAATTAAGTCAGGAGCTCGTATCAGATCTTCCACTGGGGTAACTGGGTATGTCTCTGCTCAGCAAAACCCGATTGGTACAGAAATTGGGAGATATTTTGCTTTTAGAACCTGTGCTGAAATGCAAGCAAAAGCAAAAATAAAAACCTGTCTTCTTCCCAGAATATTAGCAAAAAAGGAGAGGAATTCGTGTGCCATACATGTACTCCAAACACTGCGGGGCAATAGCATTATTACCTCTTCTCTTCCGGGACCTCATAACAGGAGAGAAAAAATTGCTGAAAGTTTGATTCTAAATAAAGCTGGGCTATAAAACACATGGGGGACTTTGGCAGAACATGGCCTGAGCATCATAAGGCAGAGGTTTTTTGAAGAAAAAGTCAACTTATTTCAAACAAAAGAGGATCTGCTACACCGTGGCATGACAGAGATAAATGGGAAAAGCATATCAGACAAATTGCTTCCCTTCAGCCATATGAGGAAAAACTACAGCTACATCCTTAGATGGGCTGGGGTGGTGTGATGGAATGAGATTTTTTCTCAATGGCTTAAGAGGTTGACTTTTTGGTACATATTCACTAGTTTATTTGGAAGATGATCCTCCCTTTAAGAGATAAACACAGGCTCAATTAACATTTAAAACACATTTTTGTTTCCTAAACAAACTGTGCAGCAGACTAACTGGAAGAGAAGTTTTGACCATTTTCATGTCACTTTGATCCAGCTGGACTCCAGCCATGCTGAAATGCTTTGCCTGAAGTGAAGTAAAAGAACAATAAACTACTGAGTAATATAACGTGTAACTGTTACACAAAACAAAATTGCAGCAACACAGTTCAACATGAAAGCAGTCATTATCCCTGCCACAGTTTTTACCCAAAAATTTTCAGGCAGCCTCTTTGGATGTGCATAACCCGTTGTTATTTTAACAATGCTTATTTTATGTATTCATGTATTTTTTGTAAGCATCTCTTGCGTATTAAGACATTACATCTGCCAGCAGGTGAAGATCTAAAACACAAGCAATGAGGTGTGGCAAGGTATTTTGCTTTATCTTAAAATCAGGCTCAGAAGACTACAAAAAGAGATCACAAGGCTTTCAGAAGTAATTCCAATTTCCAGTTGGTTCAAACACACAGTGATTGGAAAAAAAAACCAAACCAACTATTAAAATGTTCAGTTGACCTATGCCCCAAGATGGTGTTTTGCTTTGCACAGATTTATGGTTAAGGGACAAGGTCTGATTTCAACTTCACCCATGAGACTGTCACTAACATCAACGGAAGTGGCGTGTGTAAACAAGAGGGCAACCTTTAAATAAAAGGATGTCTTTTCAGCCAAACCTCTCATCTCTCCAGGGGTCTGTCTGAACTGCCAAGGTGGAAAGAGCAGTTCAGGGAAAGCATAAGAGGTTGTTTCTAGAAGCGAGGAGAAAGGATTTTCTGCTCATGTTTGCATTCTATACCATAAAGGGCCAAAATATCAATAAATAAAATTCCAACACTACCATTGTTGATCCATTTCCCACTTGTTTTGCTTGGCCAGGAAGGGGATGCTGATTCATGCCTAAGTAACAACTAGCAGCATATCTGTAACATGGCTCCAGGGCAGGAAAAAGAAGAAGGGTAGAAGTGACAAGAGAGGTTATCAGGAAGGCATTGCCATGGTGGGGTGTGAGACAACACCATCAGCACTGCTTGTGTCTGCAGGGATCATTTTTCTGCTTGCATGTTTCTGCTTGGAGCTGATCTAAATACTGGCTGCAGTTACACTTATAGATCAGAGTACTATTTTAATTCTTTCTTGGGGGTGCAGTCATTATATACTGAGCCTTTAAGATCTATCCAGCTTTTATGATGCCATTTGTGTTTCTGGTTATTTCATCACAGGTTGATTGTCTGCATTGCAGTGGGCGATGCCCCATACATCAGAGAAATCCAATGGCATTTTTTTTCCTTTCAAGAAGCCTGATCTGCACAGGAGCATCCAGACCTGTCTTCTCTTGGCTCACAAGAGAGTGGGGGCAAATTCTGCATAGGGAACCGCCAGAGTAAAGCAAAAAAAACTTTTACAAGTAAAAGGAGGACTATGGGAGTCCCACTGTGTTACTAAACACGCAAGATCCACAAGGATCCTTCGGTCACCACATACAGTCTGATGCAACCTCAGGCAATCGTGGAACAATGAATGTCCAGCCAATAGCTCCTCATAACCCCCTACCCCAAAACTGTAGGCCACAAAGCACTCAAGTTCTCCTGAACTAAATAAAATAAAATATCTTAGGGTAAAGAGGCAAAACTCACAAGTAGAAGGTGAGAGAAAGATCATCAGTTATAATGACTGTGAAGGGAGAACTTGCTATGTGAAAATGCCCGGGTGATGTGGGACAGCAGACCACATCCCACATCACAGAGAGGCAAAAGCCCTATGAAACACAAGCATTCCACAAGGAGAAAATGGGAAACTTTACCGCCACCCCACCACCTACAGCAACTCTACCATAACTTTTGCACCCAAAACAATGCCTCGCCTTGGCTCTGGCATGCAACACCCAGCCATCACCCAAGCATATTTTAAGGCTCTTTCTGAACCATTTATATCAGAGGAAATTACTGAACTGGCAGCGTCGCAGTGCAGGAAGCGTGTCCAAACCCTTGGAGAACACCAGCAACACAGATGCACTGGTCCCCACCAAGAAAAGGCAGGGGACGCCAGGTCTTCCAGCAAAGAGCAGTTGTGCTGGCAGAAGCAGCTGCCAGACTCCTCATGGGGAGTGCTGGGGCACTAGCAGATTGCAGGCAGTGCCCGAGATGACCTTGCTCCTCAGGCTACCCCAAAGCTCCTCTGTACTGTGCTTGGGCCTCTCCTCACCTGGTAAGCTTGCCTTTGTTTTCCCACCAAAATGTGCTCTCTAGCTTGAGGCACAGTGTTAGGAGCCTCTTTTTGCTATCCTGGCTCCTCTGCCCCGGACAAAGGAGATAGGACAGAGTGAGGACAACCTCCAGAGAAGATCCAGTGGTGAGGTTTCACAGGGCATGTAATCCATGTCTGGTGACAGCGCTGTGCCAGCCTGGCACTGATGTCAGGAGCCTCACAGACTGATACAGTTCAAAGGTGGTTGCAGAAACAAAATCAAGTCACTGGAGCACTGGTAACCATTAGACATTTCAATCAGGGCAGATCTTCCATAATTCAGAATTATTCAGCAAAACAGAGATGAGATATTCATCTCATGCTGGAAGGTTCACCTCTACCAACCTTTGCATGTTGCTTTTAGTATTGAGTGAAAGGTCTCCTGGATGTCACTAAAACTGAACCTACTACAAACAAATGAAAAGCGTACCATCTCCACAGACATGCAGTGCTTGTGACGGCAGAGCAGGCTGGAATGCAGTCTGCTGCTAAGTCAGCAGCTTGCAGCTTCTTAGGAAAATAAGACATATGACATGGGACAATGCCAGTTACTCGACACTTACACGAGAGACTGAAAATTAATCACTCAGTGCAGGTTTGCCCAGGCTGTGTGTGTAATAGTAACTATGTATATCTCCATGAACCGATAATTAAAAAATGTAAGGAGAAAATGTTGTGCAAATAATTTCTTTGTAAACATTATTGTAGTCTATAATTTCCAACAACATATGAAATGCATGTCCAGTTGCTTCCTTACTTATTCTTGGTATTGATACAAAACAATAACAATAAAAGCAAAATAAATTGAGTCCCTTTGAAGTAGCAAAACACAGCAGAAAAGGAGCCTCAGAGGCCCTCAAATGGGAAGAGCTGGTTCGACACATTAAAATACAGAATCCGAATTAAATCATTAAGTTCTGATCCCAGCTGCGCTCATTTGAGGATTAGCTAGTTATAAGTTGTAAAGCTTCTAGATGTTGACTCTTAAGTACTAAATGCAGAATTAAATGTGGTCACCTGCAGTTCTTATAAAAGTAAATTTTGCTTGGGTGATGTAAGTAAACAAGGAGAGAACAACAAGCGTTATTTGGCTCACAGACTCCAATGTGACTTTGGCTTTTCCTCCCCAGCCCCTTGCAACAGAAATAAGATTTACAAAGCCAAACCAAATCTGGTTTTGATTCTTACAAGATAAATTTAATTTTAAATGAATATAAAGCTCAAGATTAGTAGAAATAGCAAGTACAGTGCCTTCCTGTGCTGCACCCACAACGATCTAACACCCATTGCCCAACCAATACATGCTCAAAACTAAGTGCCAACAGAGGAAGGATTTGTCTTATTGCAACAAGTAAAATAAGCCTTGCATGACATCCATCTGTGCCAGTGAAAAGGAGAGCAGAGGAGCTGCCCCAACTCTCTGCTCTTGACCCACACAGCTTCTCCCTGCCTCCTGCAGCCAGGGCCACCTTCCATTAGACCAGGTTGCTCAAAGCCCTGTCCAACCTGGTCTTGAACACTGCCAGGGATGGAGCATTCACAACTTCCTTGCGCAACTGTGTCAGTGCCTTACCACTCTCACAGTAAATAATTTCTTCCTTAGATCTAACTTAAATCTCTCCTGTTTAAGTTTAAACCCATCACCCCTCGTCCTATCACTACGGTCCCTGATGAAGAGTTCTTCCCCAATATCCTCATAGGCCCCCTTCAGACACCGGAAGGCTGCTATGAGGTCTCCACACAGCTTCTATTCTCCAGGCTGAACAGCCCCAACTTTCTCAGCGTATCTTCATAAGGGAGGTGCTCCAGCCCCCTTATTGTCCTCATGACCCTCCTCTGGACTTGCTCCAGCAGCTCCGTGTCAGTTTTATGTTGAGGACACCAGAACTGGACACAATACTCCAAGTGAGGTCTCACAAGACCAGAGTAGAGGGGCAGGATCACCTCCTTCGACCTTCTGATCACGCTTCTTTTGATGCAGCCCAGGATAGGTTGGTTTCTGGGCTGCGAGTGCACACTGAAGCTGGCTCATGTCAAGCTTCTCATCATCCAACGCCCCCAAGTCCTTCTCCATAGGGCTGCTCTGAATCTCTTCTCTGCAAGCCTGTAGCTGTGCCTGTGGTTGCCCCGACCCAGGCGCAGGATCTTGCACTTCACTTTGTTGAACTTCATGAGGTTTGTGTTGGCCCATCTCCCAGGTGTGTTCAGACCCCTCTGGATGGCATCCCTTCCCTCCAGTGTATCAAAAATATGCTTCAAGTTGCATCACTGATCCTTCATCATTGAGCAGAGCTGTTGCCTGAATGCACGACAGCTGCTGGCAAGCTGCAGTACAGGGGCACAGAGCCTACCCCCTCCAATAACATCCACTCCCGAGATTTAAGGGACTAACTTTGGTTATGAGCCAAAAGAAACTACTTTCTGGAGGCAAAAGCCTCTCTGGAGATTCTCCAATGACCACTGTCATTGATGAGAGGACATTGCTGTCTGTACCTAAGCAAGTAAATAGACTGTCATCCTAAAGGCAGAAGATGAATATATGGAGGATTTTCCCCTGCAGAGCAAAATGATGTGACTTTTCTCCCCTCCTCCCTCCAAACTGGCCTCCAGCAGAGTCAAAGGAAGGACAACCAAAAAGTATGATTCAGAAATGCAAAGGCAACAGCCTTGACTTAGTGCAAGTTTTGCCTCAAGGATCATTGAAAGGACATGGAAACTGCAGGATTCAGCTCTTGCCCGAAATGAATTATCCAGGTTACTGTATGGCAGGCACCAGTGCCACATGTCAGCAATTGGTTAGATTTATTGCATACCATTCACTTTCTGCTATATAATTGAGTTTTGCCATAGCCATAAACATTTGAATTACTTAACGGAAACTCTTTGAGTTCAGCAGAACAATATTTTTGCCTTTAGAGAACCATGATTTGATGTGGAAGGAAAATGTCTAATAACAGTGGTGAAAGACACATAAGCTCATACCTGGGAATGAAAATAAAATGTCATTAAAGATCATGATGTGTCAGAAGTAAGTCTAAGGAGTTTGGTGTTCTCAGGACACCCAATGTCTTGAGCAATCAGGCAGTTTACAAACTCATGGTGGTAATCTCCTCCAGGCTGTGTTTTTAAGAGTTTGGGACAGCAGGAGGGTAAGACAGGTCTCATTGGGGTCTAAGGCATTTCCCAGTCCCAGCAGGACAGGGCAAATATCTGATCTTCATGAGTGTCCTGTGTTCAGCTGTAACAGTTATTTTTCTCCTTTTTAGTTGCTTGTGCAGTGCTGTGTTTTTGACTTCAGTCTGAGAACAGTGCTGATAACACCGATGTTTTTAGTTGTTGCTAATAATGCTTGCCCCAATCAAGGACTTTTCAGTCTCATGCTCTACCAGTGAGGAGGGGCACAAGAAGCCAGGAGGAAGCAGAGACAGGACACCTGACCCAAACCAGCCAAAGGGGTATTCCATACCACAGCACGTCATGCCCAGTACATAAACTGGGGGGAGTTAGCCAGAAGGCCCAGTTCGCTGCTCGGGTCAGGCTGAGTATCGGTTGGTGGGTGGTGAGCGATTGTGTCCTCTCCCCTTGTTATTTCCCTTATCATTATTATTGGTAGCAGCAGTGGTTTGTATTATACCTTAGTTCCTGGACTGCTCTTATCTCAGCCCGTGGGAGTTACATTCTTTTGATTCTCCTCCCCATCCCTCCAGGAGCAGGGGGCGAAGAAGGGGGGTAGTGAGCGAATGGCTCTGCATGGTTCCAAGTTACCAGCTGGTCTTAAACCACGACAACAAGTAGCATCCCTTGCTTCTGGGAATGCAGGGATCTTTGGGCTGCTTGTCTGAGGCGGCATTATGGGAAGGGCAGAGAGCCCCAGAGCTCTCTGGTCCCAGAATCTGAGAGCTGCCTGATGGTTTATTCATGCACAGTGTGTTTGGGTCTGCTCATGGCACCTGGATTGGGTGAACATAGCTCCTGCATCCAGACCCCACAGCTATGACTAAGGCAAGAACTTCAGTGCAAATTCACTACACTGCCATGAAATTCCAGTAATTTTTTAGGAGTTAGTCACTATAAATCCATTTTAGGCATCACGTTCCCATTGGGTCACATCTCAAACCAAGACGTTCCTGTGACGAAGCTTAAGCCCAGCATCACCACTAAGTGTTTTCATTATAAAGACATTTGTCTGAAGTATCCAATTAACTGTGGCTACAAAGCCAAAATATCTGGATTACACTATGCAAGGAAGCTCATATTTCACTGCACAATTACAACATTCCTGAAGGCTAGATGGCATCTAAAATATGGTATCATACAAAGGGTGTGCAAAATACTTTTTTCCTTTTCTCTGCATTTAATTTCATATGTAGATAACACTGCAACCCAGCTTACCTAAGCCCCTGGAATAGTGACAGTCATGTGCTTTTATCAAAAGGGAGGTTTAGCCATTCCATAAAAAGAAAGTTCATAGAAACAGAACATATACACACACAGAGATACACAGTAAATAATAATAATAATAATAATTTAGATATTTATCTTTACAGTTATGAGAATTTAAGTAGTAATTTTTTTTCATGCTCATTATGCTCTTTACAAAGTTTCTTTCTTTCCCATTAATCTAAACCCCGTTTCTGCAGAGCCCCTTCACCCTAAATCAGCTCTACGTGATTGTTCCTTGGTTAGAAGGCAGGAGGACAGTCTTAGTCATAATAAATACCACATTGGATTTTTGTCCTACTTGCTTTCCTAGCCATACCGGTAGTATTGCAGTCTAGACCTATCATTGTCTTGTGACCAGGAACATGTTCTGGTAGGTTATTCATGAAGAAAGGAATACTTAGATATATAGGAGAATACAAGATATGGAAGAAAAAACCAACCAAACAAAAAACCACACACAAAAACCCCCAAACAATCCAATCCCCAAACCAACCAACTTCTTTTGGTTTTGAACTTACCTCATCAATATGTCCAACAGCTCCAAAGATCTTTGCTGTTTGCCCTATCAAACATGGACAACTCTCACCAACTTCTTTTAGCATTGGAAGAAAAGTGGCTAAGGCTGTTGGCTCATAGTTGGATATTTCTGTAAGTATGTTCAGAATAATGTCACTATGGTTAAGGTCCCTCAAGTGTCCAAATAGAA